AAAAAAACCCCCAACAACTTGATGACATCTCTATAAAAGCCTGGTTAATGGAGATATGTAGCTCCTTCTATCCCTTAACTGTGTTGCAGATAGTGTGGCTTCTAAGGGCTTTTATATTTCACAAAACATACAAACTGGAACCCTCCTGTTTTAGTATGTTATTTAGACCACCTAGGGGCAGTTTCAGGCAGTATTGATTACTATTTTATTGTTGTCTATAATCCAAGAATTCTCATAACAAGTAGCAAACCTAGAAAGTGAATTCAAAGCTGTTTACCCCCTGCCTCTGACTCAGCAAGCCACTCTGTCGCTTCTATTGGGTGACAACCACCTGGTATGTTTCATTAGGATAGGGCAGCCCACAGAGCCCTGGGGAGAAAGCTCCTCTTCTACCCTGACTCAAGAAGTTGGTAGAAGAAGGGTGGAGCACCAGGTACAGTCCAAGAAGGAACTCCCTGCTCTTGGCCAGCCCACAGACCATCTTGTTTGTATGCCCAGCACTTAGCACTAGGGGCTAGAACATAGTAGGTGCTTCATAAATGCTAGTTGACTGACTGACTCAAGAGGAAGGAAGAGAGGGTAGCCCCCAGACAGCTGGCTGCCACAGAGATATCTATTGGTTTCAAGGTAAAAAGAGACAGGATGCAAACCTCAGACACTATCCCTAAGACTGACACGCTATCATCTGCTCCAGTCACAAAAAGAGAATATCATCTCCATCTCTGTGGATGGGGAATAAGAGAAGAAAGCACACATTTATTTAGTACCTAATATATGCTAGACAGTGTGCTAAGTCCTTTACAAATATTATTCCCTCTAATGTTACTTTGTATTTAGTTTGTAGATGTCTGGCATATATGTACATATTGTATCTCCTATTAGAATATATGCTCCCTGAGGGCAGGGACTGTTTCTCTTTGTATCTCCAGCACTTAGTACAGTGCCTGCTACATGATAATGACAACAATAGTAGTTAACATTTATATAACACTTACTATGTGCTAGACATCATGCTAAGCACTTTACAATTATCTCATTAGATTCTCACAATAACTCTGAGAGGTGGGTGCTATTATTATCTCCATTTTGTAGATGAGGAAATTGAGGCAAACAGACGTTAATCATCTGCCTAGCATCATACAACTAGTAAGTATCTGAGGCTGGATTTCAATTTTGGTCTTCCTGACATGGTAAGCTTGTTGATTGACTAATTCTTTACTCCAAGGTCAGTCCTCTATGCATCATGCTACCATGTCTCTCTCAAACATTTGCCACTGAACTTTGAGTTCTGAAGCAGCAACGTCCCTTCCATGTTCCCCAGTACCTCGGGGGGAATTTAGTGAAATACAAGCTCCTAAAGAGTAAGGATTATTCCATTTTGTATATTTATATCCTCAACACAGGGCCTTGAACACAGTAGGTGCTTGATAAATGCTTCTTAGTGGGGTTGGGTGGGAGGGATCTTTGTAGGAATTACTCCCACTTCTTTATGCAGGCAGAAATATATTGTCAAGATATTAGGAGACACCCTTTTTTCCAGAATTAAGACACAGCAAGCAGGCTTGGCATAACAACAACCCTTTGTGCTCACCCTCTGGATGATCTCAGCCCTGGGAATTGTTTCACACCAGCACCAGGTGGTCTCTAAGCTTTGACGAGCACCTGTAGTACCCATGTTCTGGTCATGAAGTCTTGCTATGAATCAAACTTGTCACATTGTTGCTTCTGCCCTTCATTGTCTGGGCTACAGCTCACTGTGTAGCCGTTGGTAAAGCAGAGGTTCCCAAAGTGGGTGATTCCAAAGTGGACCAATCCAGGGGGGCAGTAGTAACTTCGGATACAGTTGGGGGGTGTTGAATAAAAATAAGGGGGTGGTGGAAGAGTAAGGAAAGAAGAGAGGATAAGAAAATTTTGAAAAACCATACATGTTTCATCTGTTGTGTAACAGAGTTAAAGTCATAGTGATTACATTACTTCACAAACAAACATACAAAACGCAAGTTATAACTGATCAGTGGTCAAGTCCACTGACAGGTCTTAACAAGCGAGTGTTGGCAAGGGAGCCTGTCCTGCATCGTCGGAAAGTCCAGTATGCATCAGCAGGAATATGTGCTTGTAATGGCTTGTTTACAATATGATACTATGTGGTTATATGGTGCAATATTGCATTATCAAAATCTCAATGCAGGAAAACCCCACAAATTTACAATAAATTATTAAATTTAAAATGTGTCATTTAAAAGTATTTTATATATTTTAGAAATGATGCAAATTAAAAAAAACATTAAAGAAAGTAGATTTCCAGGGGGTATTGAGTAATTTTTTTTTTTTGAAAAAGGGCCGGTAGGTCTAATAACTTTGGGAACCTTTGGGTATAAGTATTGGGATCTCCCCATCCTGCCTCAGGGCTCTCCATTAAGGTAGGGTCTCTAGAACACATGCTCTTGCTTACAAGCCGTTTCCCTCACTCTGAAGTTAATTAAACTCCTGTCTGATTCCTGACTCTCCTGTCTCTGGCCTGCTTTGTTTGGTTCCAGCCACCCACAGGTTAGAGACCAGTTCTGGTCGGGTGGACAATACCATGACTTCCTTCTCTTTTGTTATTTTCCTGTTTATGTCTCAATTACTTGTTCTGGGTATTAGATTTTGGTTTCCATGGTCTGAAAACAGAGAATGTTGCACTGGGGACAAAGGGTAGGAGAGGGTGTTGGGCACTAATGAGCAAAATTGGTTTCCCTAAATGGCCTACTCTGAACCTGGGAAAAGTAGCCACTTTTCACTGACTGTCTTCCACGTGGGGAATGCTATTCCTTTTTGTCCTCACTTCCTGGTTTCCCAGGCTTCTTTCAAGTCCCAGCTAAAATCTCACCTTCCATAGGAAGCCTTCCTTCCCCAACCCCTATTAATTCTTATCAATTAGACTGTGAGCTCTTTGAGAGCAGGAACTGTCTTCTGCCTTTTTTTTTTGGATACCCAACACTTAGCACAGTGCCTGACACATAGTAGGCACTTAATAAAGTTTAGTGACTAACTGACCCTTGGCCTACAGCTTCCAAAACCCAAGTAGGAGCCACAGAGTTCAATCAGTCACATTACTCCATGGTTATTTTAAATGCCAAGGGTGTCTCACCCTGATCAAGAGCACCCCTGATGGCCCAGCTTCAGCTCTATCCCAGTGATAGGGTGTGTCACCATTTACCGAAGGCCCTGGGGTGTAGCAGGAGGGTGATCAAGATCATAGGAATCACTGGGATCAAATGGGCTAGAGATGGGACATGTGGACAAGTTGGCTTCTAATACCAACTGGTGAGAAGAAGCCTATTGCAGGGGCAAACATCTTGAGCTGGAAATGCAGAATATAAGTCCAGTTTTTGCTCTGCCCTACTTTCTCTCTGACTTTGGCTATAACATTCTTGGGAGTTTCAATTTTGTTTCTTTCAAGAAGTGACCAGTGAATTTTTTCAATTACTACTTTGCCTTCTGGCTCTAAGGAATCTGGGGAGTTTTCTTTTATAATTTCTTGAAATATAATGTATGTTTTCTTTTTGGTTGTTGTTCCTGGCTTTCAGGGTAGTCCTTAAGTTATCTCTCCTTGGTGCAGCTTGACTTTGGACTTTATGTTAGTGTTGGGCTCTGCTCACTTCTGAAGTGATGTCTGGCTTGAACTTCTGTCCTTCTACATCTTTCTGCTTTTTTCCCAGTTCAGTCTAGGGGCCTGCAATCTTTCATTACTCCCAAAATAGTGTGAGACAGGTAGAGGTCTATTCACTGTCCTCCTGGTCCGAGCTCTGAAAGCTCCTGATCCCAGTTTGGGTTTGCTGGCTTGTGCATCATTTAGTTTCTGTAAACTGTTGTTAGGCTCAGTCATTTTGCCCACTGGGAGGTTCTGCAGGGTCAGAGTGACTGAACCTGAGTCTCTTTCACTCTTAGTCTTCTGGCCAGGTTATTTCTTTTTTTTCTTTTTTTTTTTTTGGCTGGGCAATTGGGGTTAAGTGACTTGCCAAGGTTCACACAGCTAGTAAGTATTGTGTCTGAGCCTGGATTTGAACTCAGGTCCTCCTGACTCCAGGGCCAGTGCTCTAACCACTGCGCCACCTAGCTGCCCCTTGCCCTGGTTATTTCACTGTAGACTTACATGCTAGGTTAGGCTAGAGCTGAGCTGGTGCTCGTGGGCTCAGAAATATACAACTGCCTTCCTGGAGTTCATTCTGTGCTTAGTATTCAGCTAGGGCCCAGCTCACTTGTGACTGTCCTTCTCTACCCTGAATCTGTGACCCAGAACTGCGCAACAGAGCTGTCAAAGGGAAGCCATTCCTGTACTCAGGTCAGGTATTCCCTGAGGTGTCTCTCTACCCTGCTGTTTCCTGCCCTGGTACTGTGTCTTGGCCCCTTTTCTCTCCCTGGGTGCTAAAATGCTGCCCCCTAAGCCTCAAGGCCATCCCACATTCCTAGCCATCCCCTGCCCCAGACAGAGCTTCCTATCTCTTTTTAAGTTGCTCTGGGCTGGCAAAATGACTTACTGTGATCTTTTTTAACAACTTTTCCAACTGGAATTTGATCTGGTGCATTTTCTAGGTTGGTGTGGAAGAGGTGTACTAGGTGTGATAGGCAAAAATGCTTCCTCTCACTCTGCCATCTTGACTCCACCTCTCTCTCTGACCTTCCTCACAAGATGACAGCTTCCTATGTCTGCAGCTGGAGAAGAAGACCTTAGGAGTCACCTAGCCTAACCCCCTCATTTTACAGACAAGGAAACTGAGGCCCAGAGAAGTTAAGTGACTTGCCCAAGGCTATGCATATTTGTAAGTATCAGAGACAGGATTGGAGCTCAGGTCTAAATTCAGTACTCTTTCTACTAAACCACAAAGCCTCCCAAGAGGAGACTGCACCTGGACAGGGAAGGACAAGGGCCGAGAAAAGCTAAACTCTTACTTTCCTTCTCTCCCATCTCCTGTTCTCAGCTCTTTCTTTCCCCATCTCCCCAAAAGGATCAGAAAATGTAAACTATAGTCATCTTTTATTTTAAAGATCCCAACTCCTAGACCATCCCCTTATCTCCTTCTGCCAAGGACACCCCAGTGCCTGCTCCTTCCCCCATCCTCCCTCAGAGCCCATCTCCTCTTCTCCTCCTCCTCCTCCGGATAGCTTCCCCACTCCTGCTTCTCTCCTCTCAACCTAGCACTCCACACCCTGGGCATTTAGAATCAGGTGGTGAGAGCAAACAGTCCAGCGTTGAGTGTCACAAGACCACCCAGAATTCCTGCCCCGGATCAGCCTCACTGCTTGTCCTTAAGCTTCAGGAAATAACACCAGGAACCAGAGCATAGAAGTCTCCGAAAGGGTAGGAAGTGCCTAGGACAGAAAACAGAAGTCAGTCAGGGCAGAATGTCCCCCCGCCCCCTTCTTCCAGGCCACTTCTGCTCACTCTCTAGGGTAGAGGTCCCTAAGTCTGTTCCACATCCCCACCCCCAACAAGAACACATACTTTGTTATGCTAAGGATTGTTTGTGTGCCTGCATTTCTTCCCAATCTTGAAATGCTTGGGTACCAAACTCTCCCCTCCAGGAAATCTCACTGTTTCCAGGGCTAGTCTTTCCACATGCTCGGGAATCCCTCTCTTCACTTTTCCTTGTTGCTCCAATTCCATTCTTCTGGCTGAACTGCAATCCCCTTAATGAGTCTTCAGCTCCCTTGCTGCTCTTCACCCCCCTTGTTGAGACCCCATCCATTCACTGAACTCCCAAACCCTCAAGGATCCTTTAACCTCTCTCTCTGAGGTTCTGTCTTGCCTCACTGAACCCCATCCCCTCATCGAGCCCCAGTGCCTCAAGCCCCCTCCCTCATTATTACCTTTTCTCCTATGTTGAGTCACCACCCTCTCATGTCAAACTGTGCTCCACAGGGATTCTCACCATTGCCAGGGCTAGCCTTTCCACAGTTCCATTCCCTGTATCTTTCCCACCTGTCTTTATTGCTCTCAGACCTACTCCACCTCCCTTAATGAGTTCCCAAACCTTTCACTGAGTCCCAATCCCTCATATCTTAAACCTTATCTCTTCTCTGGGTTTTTATTCCATCATGGGTCCTTCAGTCCCTCTCTCTGAGGCCCCACCCTGATTCCCTGCATCTTTAATTTCCACATTGGGCCCTCATCCTCTCAATGAGTCCTACCATCTCTCTTTGAGCTCCTATCTCCCTCACTGAGCTCCATTTTCTCAATAAACCCCAGTCACATTATTACCCATCTCCCTTACTGAGCTCCCATCTACTTTATTGAGTTCTTGTCCCCTCCATGAGTCAAGGTCACCTTACTAAGCCCCCTTCTGTCCCTGATCAATGCCACCTACCTTGCTCAGGATGCTCAGGGAATCAAGGCAATGGCCAGACCTAGACTCAGAAGTAAAGAGTAGATCTGAGGGCCAGGGAGTGCTGAACTTGTCTCTGCTGGGTTCTTTTTTTCTCTAGAAGATAAAGGTGGGGTAGGGGGGATGGACAGGAAGGGGATAGTCAGAATTAGTGAACAGTGGGATATTTCCCTAATATCTAGGGTCTAGGGGCCTAGCCACTGCTAGTTGCTTCCCACATGCCTGAGAGAGATCTTCTGAATGACTACACCTGAACATAGGTCCCTGGGGCCTCTAAGAGGGATTTCTACCATACCATTCCCAGGTCCCCAATCTTGAGTTCTTGGTGGGGAACAGATGGTCAATGCAACTCCCTACTCATAACAGCACTATGGTAATTAATGTGTTGTCAACTAATGTTATAGTAGTTAATAGCCCCTTTTCCCAAAGTTTGTGCCAATGGAGGAGAGCCATGATATAGATAATCTCAAAGGGCAGAAAAATCTTCTTTTTTCCCCAAAGCAAAAATCCCCAAATGCTTCTTATTGTCAGTGTAGTCTGTATATTACTATACTATGAGTTTCATCAGAACAGAGATTGTCTTTCTATAATATCAGAAACTTTCCCAGCACCTACTATGAGGCTCTGAAAGCAAGTGGCACTCAAACATTTCCTGAAGGAGAGAAAGTTGGTTTGGGAAAGCCTGTTGTGATACATAGAGCAGAGAATGTCACAGCTGGGCATTGAGTGGGGGCTGGGGTTGGGGTGTGAGGGAACTTTGGAATACAGATTGTTGAAGCTGAGAAGAGTGTTAGAATAGAGGATGGCAAAGATGGCCATTGAATGGAGCCCTTACAACACAGACTACTGAAATGAGATTATTAGAATATAGCAGATCAGACTTTGGAATGACCTTAGTACACAAAATGTCAGAACTGGAAAGGCCCTTAGAATGACAGCAACGAATACCAGTGTTAGGGGGGACTTCCAACACCAAATATAGAATGTTAGAATCACAAGAGCACAGAATATGGAGAACTGAATGCTAGGAGGGACCACAGGACACATCAGAACTGAAAGGGACCAGAGTAAAGCATCATATATCTGAAAGAACACTAAATTTTGGAGTCAGGAACTATTCTCAATCCTCGCTTTGCCATTTACTACTTATATGATGGCCAGGTCATTTAACCTCTTTGGAAGGAAACAAGCATTTATCAAGCACTTACCATGTGCCAGACACTCTCTGGGCCTCAGTTTTTTCATCTGTAAAGTGGGATTAGATGACCTCTGAGGTCCTTCTAGCCCTTCCAGCTCTAAATCTATCATTTAAGTTATAAGATATCAGAGCACAACATGATTAATAGGGTGGGCAGAGGGGACTAGCTAATTAGAATGCCAGAGCTGGTAGAGGACACATCTTTCCTTCAAACCTCCCTCAAAATAAAAAGCAGACGACGTCAGAGTTGGAAGGGACCCTATCAGAGAGGTCATAGAAGGTCAGAGGAGGAAAGGGCTGTAAAGCACAAGTGGTGAGGAGGGAGAAGTAGAAGAGAAAAAAAGACAAAACGTAAAATGGCAGAGTAGGAAGGAAACTTAGAGGACCCCCTATCTAATAGCTTCATGTTATAGAGGAAACTGAGTCAGGAGGAGGAGTGTACTGCCTAGGGCCTCATGACAAGTCAGTAACAGAAGCAGGATCTATTTCATGCAAAGCCCTCAGAGTCCCTGGTGCCTGAATTCCAGGTCTATATTGATAGCCTTCAGGGCTGGATTGCCCTTCCTGACTCAGCTGGTATCTCCTCCATAGATCCTGCAGCTGGCACTCTGGTTTGGGGCAACGGGAGGACGTGGGAGGGAGAGAGGCTGTCCTCGGTTTATGCATTTGTCTTGGTTCAGTCACACAACAGGAAATCAACCCTCACCCCTCCCACATCTCTACCCTACACTAGGGGTAGAGGGTTCTTGGCATCTCCATCTAGAAATAAATGTGTCCCTAGAAGATAGGATGACCCTGTCTCTAGAAGTGACCCAACCCAAGATGAATCCAAGTGAGCTCTGGGTCACTGATCCACATAAAGTCTCTGCTGAGGGAAGTTATGAGGGACAGAAGAGCCCAGACCCTCCACAGGGAGGCTAGTACTGACCTCTGCATCTGAAGGGCTGCCTCAGCATTCCTAAGTTTCTCAGCCAAATTCTGGTTCTCTTCTGGACCAGGAAAGAAGGTAGGAGGGGAAGTTAATGAGAAGGAGAAATTGTTTCACTCCCACCCTCATCCCCACCAACTTGGTGCCATGGGAAAGGCCCCCAAAGCCTCTTGGGCCTTCAAACTTTCTTCCCCAGAGCCCGAATTCCCTCCATTTGAGACACCCCCTCCACAAGGATCCTCCTTAGGAAATGGGATGGTGACTACTAAGGAAAGGCATTAAGACCCCCTTGTGACTGCCCATGATGCCCAGAGAAGGGAAGGAAACATGGATTCTTTCTTAAGAACTGCTGGGGACCTTAGAGCTCATGAGGTGCAATTCCCTCACTTGACAAATGAAAACTGAGGCTCAGAGGTCAAGTGACTGGCCCAGAGTCATGCAGCTCATAGTGGCAGAGCCCACACAGACACCTGGACTTCCTAGAAGCCACATATCCTAGTGAAAAATGGGCAGCCTTGGGGTCAGAGAGCCTGAACTAGGGTGCTCCCCCATCACTGTGCCTGGGTGACTTAACCTCTCTGGCCTCTGCTTCCTCATGGGCAAAATGAGGAGATGGGAGCAGACCAGGGGTTCTCAGCCTTGTTTGTGTTGTGTCCCCACTTTGGGCATCAGTCTGCTGAAGGCCAGGGGCCCCTTCTCAGAATGATGTGCTTAAATGCACAAAATACAACAGGTAGGATTTCAAAGGAAACCAATCGCATTGAAATACAATTATCCAAGTATTAAAAGTAAACAAACTCATGGACTCCAGGTTCAGGACCTCTGGAGTAGATGGTTTCTAAGGTCCCTTTCCAGCTCTAAAACCTATGATCACTCTACTCTCAGCCCTGTTCCCTGAATGTATGTTAGGACCTTGGGGGAGGTAGTACCAACCTTGCTGGGCAGCCTGGGCTTGGGGGGGGGTGGGTAGTCAGTCTGTGCTTCCCTCCCTCTCCACCTCCCAGATCCAGTCCCTGAAACTCCATTTTCAAAGTAGCAGGGTCCTGAGACTCCCCCTAGAGTGGTGGGGGGAAGGGGGGCCTCTCCAGGTCCTTTTTTCATACACAGGCCCCTTACCCTTCAGCTTCTGTAACTGACTGAGCAGCAATTCTCTCTGGGATGTCATCTCCTCCAAGTTATTGTTCAAGTTTCTCTAAGGGGAGGAAAAACGTGTGTGAATGGACTGAGCCTAGGAGATATCCACACCTGCCCTCACGTCCTCCAATTCTTTCTGGGGCTGGCTTCCAGTTTCAAAACAGCTCCCAAGGTCAACTGGGAGGGAGGTAGGTGGGTAAAGGAGCCAGGGAGGGAGTTTTCTAGGTGCATAACATGAACTTAGGAAGGCAAAACAGCCAGGGAGCCAGACAAGGGCTAGCGGAGGGAAAATGGTGAGATAAGGGAAATGGGGGATTGGTGAAAACAGGAAGCAAAAGTTATAGAATAGCAGACATATGGGGAGGAGATAGATTCAAAGATGAGGGAGATAAGGAGAGAGACAGGAGGAAAGAAAAAACCGGTGAGGAACAGAGACAAGAGAGGAGAGGCAGAGAGATAAGGAAGTGGGAGGCAGAGAAGGGAGAAAGATGGAGAGATGGGGAAATGGTGAACAGATTCAGGGAGGGGAGACATAGGTTAAGGGGAGACGGAGCTAGGGGAGACATGGAGAACTGGGACAGAGAGAAGCAGCAACAAGAAGAGGTTTTATGTAGACAAGCCTATGACCTAAAATGCTGAATTATAAGAAATTGACTCTATCCCCTGCTCATTGACCTCAGGCCCCTCCCTGTGGCTTCTTCCTTAGGCCCCTCTACCCCTCCGCCCCCTCTTTACCTTAAGACTCCCGAGCCCATTCCATCCCCAGTACCGAAATATTGCCGCAGCTCCACCATTGGGCCTCCATCTCCAGGAAGCTTTCCTGGCTCTGCCTCAGCTTCTTCTTTAGTTGCTGGCTTTCGTTGTGGAGCACCAAGCCCTGCTGACAGGCTTCTGAGTTGGCTCTGTACGCGTAAACCCCCAGGAGGGTTGACAGTATGATGACCATGGCTCCCAGAAAAGCCAAGGGGACTAGGAACTTTTTCCACTGTGTCTCCATCGAGACATACATGTGCTGATTTTTCAAATGGACTCTGAGTCCTCTCAATCAAGGGCCCTTTCCCTGTAAAGTCGGGAGAAAAATCCGTGGTCCTGAGCTCCGCCCAACTTTTTTTTTTTTGAGATTTGCCAGTGTGCTTATTGGACAAGGCTAGCTGTTTGGGGTCACAGGGGAAGAGGTAGAATCAAAGCGTTTGGTCCTGTCCCACTTTGCTGTTTCCTCCACAGGCAGTTGGAGCCCTCCCCAGTAAGCACTTACTAGATGTGGAGGGAATTGGGAGTGCCCAGTTCCTACCTGGGGAGGTTTGGGGCTGAGGTCAGCAGGAGTATTCAAATGAAGCAAGAAGAATCGTAAAACGAAACTTGGCTGCTTCTCTGTTTCAGTTTCCTGAAAAAAAGCTTAGTTTCATTTCTTGCTCTCCAAACACAGGGGCAGAGCCTAAACCTGGTCTGGAGACAGAGCTAGTGAAGATACTGGAAGAGGGGGCTACTTGAGGGCAGTGTATTATTACTAATTTGCATGCAGCCTCAGCCTGGGCCCTCTAGGGAAAGGTTCAAGGACCTCAATCTGCCAGGTCATGGAAGCCTTCCAGAACTGCCCATTTATGGGACTTGTTTTCCTCGAATCAGGTGCTAGAGCCAAGAGACAAGATTTGTTGTTGGTTAGAATCAGTCAATCAGACAGCACGTATTAGTGTCTTTTTATGTAATGAGATCAAGGGACCTGGGCAGGTATTTGTTCAGAGAGATAGGAAAAGGAATGTTTCACTCCATGTGTTCAAGAGAGACTGTGATTTTCACCTTTCAGTAAAGCAGAAAGAGTCCTGTGGCTAGCCTTTTGCCCTTCCACTCTCCTATCTCAAAGGGGACAATGAGCTAGAGTTATATCTACTATATGTAACTATTTTGCTGTCCATGTTTATGATGTTTATGATGCTCTTCTAGGGGTTCATAATAAATTTAACTTTCTTCCTCCTGGTCTCTCTAGGGGGAGAGGATAGCTCATTTTACAGATGAGGAAACTGAGGCAAACAGGGTGAAGTGACTTGCCCAGGGTCACACAGCTACTAAGTGTCTGAGGCCAGATTTGAACTCAGGCAGATGAGTCTTTCTGACTCCAGGCCTGGCACTCTATCCACTGAGCCTCCTATCTGTCCCAATCCTCATCTGCATACATTCCCCAGTTTCTATTTTATAGCTTCGTTGGATAAATATGTTTGCTTGTTAACCATGGTCTTTTGGGTAACAAGTATTTGGTGAGAGGGAGCTAGGCTGGACCAGAGGAGCTGATTGCTGCTCTTGGCCCCCAGCAAAACGGGAAATAAAATACAGTACTGGAAATGTGTTCCGTGGTCATTTACACTACAATATATTTTCTCAACCAGTGAATAATAATAGTACAACTACTATCATGTGGGTGGGGGGAAGGGTGAGGATATATGGCACAAAAATTGTACCTAGCTCATTGGTCACGCGCAGAGCTTACTGGTCCAGTTAGGGGAGCTAGAATACTCCTTGGTTCCCATTGCAGCTTCTAGGGTCTCCCTCTATCCTATCACTCAGTAACATCCCCATACAATCCATACCCAATCAAAATCCTGGTAGTTGTTGCCTACAGACTCCCAGGTCACTCCCCTTCCTTTCTCAATTAGTTCAGGACTTGGCTCCCAATTTTTCTCTCCTTCCCAACCCCTGCCCTCATATTAAGGAGCTTTAGCATACATATTGACTCCCTCCCAAACACCCTAACCATTCAGTTCTTCAACCTGCGTCCTTCTCGTGAGCTATTCCCTTCCCCCATCTCAGCCACACACAAAGGTAGTCATACCCTTGATCTTGCCATCACTGACAAATGTACCACCTTCGTGTTAAAGAATTTTGAAATTCTCTTAACTGAGGCTTTTCATGTCTCCCTCTCTTCCCTCACAAAATCTTATTCTTTGTCCACACTGTGACCACCAATCTCTTGACCCTTCAATGGTCTCTGAGGCCATTTCCACTGCATTGGCCACTCTCTCCTTTTCCCCCGAATTTAACACCTTGGTGAACCATGCAACTCCACGTTGTCTTTCCTCAAATCCCCAACCCCTCTTATCAGATCACTGATCATGCCCTGTCAAATCTCAGCCTTGGATGACTCCCACCATTTGATGCCTTCACTCCTACACACATTGCTAATGAATAAAGTCTGAGAAAACCACACAACTGTTATGACTGAGTCTACTACAAATTTATATTTCACAACCTCAATTGGGCTCTCACTGCTGCTAGGTGATCGTTCTACACTTGTCTTATTAACTTGCTATCCTACCTCCCCATTGCAGCTCTTCCAAATCTTTTCATCTCTCCTCAAACTTTCTATCACCTCCCCTTCCTCCATCCTTTCAACTAAGAGTTTTGCCTCATATTTTACAAAAAAGTAATTGAGGCTATTCGCTGTGAGTTCCGTATTTCTAATCTCCTATTATTCAGATGCCTTCTGCCACTATCTCCTCCTTCATCCCTATTTCACACAATGAGATGACCTTGAATGATGATGATGATGAAGATGATGATGATTTTTTATCAAGGCTAATCCCTCTACCTGCTCAAGCAGTCCCATTCCATTTGATCTCTTCCAACAGATTGCTGTCCTCCCCTACCCTGCCCATCATCCCCACTCTATCATTTATTTTCACTCTCTCCCTGGCTCTTGGCTCATTCCTTATTGTCTACAAGCATGTTCATGTCTCCCTCATCCTGAAAAAAAAAACCCTCCCTTGCTCCTTCTGATGGGGTGCTTGGGTGGTTGTATTGGGACCCCAATTCCTTGATCATGTTTCTCCCTAGTCTCAGAAACACTATGCCTGGCAGTTTCTCCCCAGCCCAAGGACACTGTACCTGCAATTACTTATGAGCGGGTCCCAGCAAGACACTATACTTATCTCTCTCCCTAGTGCAGTTACAAGCAGCACCTGAAGAAATTATTAGTTTAAACTGACTGGGTCATAAAGATATTCTTACCCACTGGACTATCTATACTACTGCCCTACCTCATTATCTACATCCTGGACTCCTCATTATCTGTATTCTAGACCTAAGACATATGTATACTCCGTACATCTATCTTGTCACACAAGACATTGACTGGTGGCAGACTAGACAGCTCTCAGTTACCCCTGCCCTCTAGTTAACTTAGTGATGTAGCAGGCCTAAAACCACACCTCTGTGTGGCCCCCCTTGTGGGCTTTTCCTAGTGAACTCTGGGTAAAACACCTGTGCAGTAGATACAAAAAGTGCATGTTGTTTTAAGAACTGACCACTCCTTAACTATTCCCTAATCTTGCCCTGAATCACCTAGTTAGCATATTTGGCACATGTTTTATTATATTTTATCTTACATAAACTTTAACTTTATCCCTCTAAGGTTGCAGGTTCCTTAAGAATCCTTTCCCACTATATAGTGTAACAATAAATCTTTGTCAACTTGACTCGGAGAATGCTTGAGTCTGTGAATTCATTCCAGATGACCCCGTGCTGTACTCCAGTCTTTGAGGGGTCTCAACCTCTCAGATCACAACACTTCCATCCCTGCTAATTATCATCTGATATCTCCTCTGCCCTTTGTAGGCAAACTCCTAGAAAAGACCGTCTACAATAGTGCTTCCACTTTTTCTTCTTTCAATACTTTCTTAACCTCTTACAATCTGGCTTCTGACCCTATCATTCCACCAAAACAAAGTTATCATGGATCTCTCAGTTGCCAAATCCAATGACTTTTTCTCTATCCTCATCTCCTCGACCTCTCTTCAGCCTTTGGCATTGTTGATTACCCTCTCCTGAGAAAATCAAACTGATAGTCCCCATTTTTGTAATCCATTCTATTCTGTATTACCACCAACATTTTGTATACTGCCTAAGTCATGTTTCTTTGTCTCCGGGTTAAGTTCAGAAGCTCAGAAGTTTAGTTTTCCTCTCTAAGTTAATTAGGTTTAGAAGTTCAGTTTTCCCGCTAATCACTCTTCTTTTCTTATGTCAAGAAAATCTGTTATTTTTGAAAAATGCAAGTGGATACCAGGGAGTCTGGTCTATTATCTTTGTAACACTGACTGTCCTTTAAGAAAGGTTGGTTTGGGAGCAGCTAGGTGGTGCAGTGAATAGAGAACCAGCCCTGGAGTCGGGGGACCTGAGTTCAAATTTGGCCTCAGACACTTGACACTCACTAGCTGTGTGACCCTCGGCAAGTCACTTAACCCCAATTGCCTTGCAAAAACAAAAAGGAAGTTTGATCTGTTATTACTGTGATGCTAACTAGCCACACAGGTGGACACCAGTAATAAGTTTTCCATAGTGACAAGAAGGAAGGAGGAATTGTTGCTAGTCCTGTATTATTGATTTCCAGTCAATCATATTGTCTCCCAAGCCTGTGATGCTTCAGACTTTGTAATCAATCACGTGATTTCCCCCATCTATGATGCTGTTTTCTAGTTTTTGGATGCCCCTCCTTTTATCTGTAAAAACAATCTGTCTGCCTTCATTTGATGTCTTTTGTCTTGCTGAAGAGCTGAGAGATCCTTTGTAATGGAAATCGTGAGCATTACTAACAAATTGAATGGGCTTGGAACTTTGTGACTCAGTTTATCTTAATTTCAATTGTGACAATTGGTGAGCCAGCCAGGAGTTTAGAGGGGATGCCAGCTTGAAGGTCAGATTCCTCCTTGATCTGGAATCCATCTGAGCTAAGATAAGCCTCCACATCAGTGGGAAAAGATATCCCTGGGAAGTCCCTCTAAAGAAATAGGTGAGCCTCCATGCTGTTGGGAAAGTAGCTAGTTAAGGTTATCCTTCATTCTAGTGGAGAAGTCCCTTCAAGGGGATAAGTTTATCCTCCACACTAGTGGGGAAGTCTCTAGAAGGGAAAATGGGCTCCAGTACTATTTGGCACCTTTGATTATTGTACAAATTAAAAGTTTTGAGATAGCTTTTAGAAAATTGTATGCACTAGTTTTTGATTAAAAACTTTTCAGTGGGAGATTAACCCCCTCTCCCCCTGCCAAAAAAAGCCCTAACTGGTAAGTGTTTCTGTGTCTGTTTTATATTACCTATGTTTGTAAGTCGAACTAGCTTTTTCCTGTGGCCTGCTCAGCCAAAGCAGAAAGAGTAAAAAAAAAACAAAACAAAAAAAAAACTCTTCCTTCATAGTCTCTTTTCCCTAGGCTTTTAGGACACCACTCTCTCTTGCTTCTCCCCCTACCTATCTTACCACTACTTAGTCTCCTTTGCTAGATTGT